CCATCAGCAACTACCTGAATGTCCCACCCCTGCACGGTTCAAGTTTATCTCAAGGGGCGCGTTAAGGCTTAGATAAACACCCCAGATCCTTTCCCGGGATCTAGTTGGGGCAATTGGGCATCATCCTGGATGCCAAAAGGTTGCCAGTTTGATTCCCAGACAGGGCACAATGCCTGGGTTTTAGGTTCAATCCTCATGTTTCTTTCTCTCCCTCTCCCTTCCTCTCGCGCTAAAAATCGATGAAAATATATTTTTAAAAATACACAAGTCTAACTGTTCTTCATTTTCTTATGAAGGCTCCTCTGTTACACAACACATTAAATAAGTAAATATGGATGATTTTCTATTAATATGCCTTTATCAGTTTAATTTTTAGGCCTAGCCAGAGACCCTAAGAAGATCAAGGCCAAGTTTTTCCTCCCTACAAATGGCATCAGTGTTCCAGGTCTGTGGGCTCCAGCCTGGCTACTGAACGCAAGCCCATCATTTGCCGGGGAAGATGGTTAGTCTGGAGGTATAAAAAACAGGCCAATTTCTAAAGACCCAGTATGCAAAAAGAATGTAAAATAGCTTGTTAGTAATATTATATTGACTGTGTTGAAATAACACTTTGGATATATTGGGTTAAATAAAATGTACTAAAACTAATTTCACCTGTTTAAACTTTTTTTAAATTTACATTTTATAGATCTTTAATGTGGCTAAGAGAAGATTCAGTTATACATGTGGCTCGCATTGGTGGCTTGCATTAGATCTCTGTGGGAAAGAGCTATCTCCCACAGCCCAGCCAGCCGTGGCTTCCACAGAATTGATTTTATAAGGTAACTGTTTTTTCCTTACATGGAAGCCAAACTGTACGTTTCCTCTTCTCTCTCTCTCTTTTTTAAAAATAAATTTATTTAAATGATTTTTTACAGAGAGGGATAGAGAGTTAGAAACATCGATGAGAGAGAAACATCAATGACCCACCTCCTACACAACTCCCACTGGGGATGTGCCTGCAATCAAGGTACATGCCCTTGACTGGAATCGAACCTGGGACCCTTCAGCCCGCAGGCCGACGCTCTATCCACGAGCCAAACCGGTCAGGCCTTCCTCCTCTCTTATTGGGTGCTGTGCTCTGAGCAGCCCAAGAGTCCTGGAGAAGGCCCTTCCCTTTCTGGGTGCTGCAGGCTCCTCAGGGGGGCTGGCGCTCACTTGAAGATTTCTTTCATCTCCTACATCTCCCTGGTCCTTGACCACCACGTGACCCCTAGACTCCAACCCAGGCTTTCTTCTAACCCATGCACAACAACAATGTGTCCACGTCACTCAAAAACCCACACAGATCCCTTTTCCTAGAAACAATGGAACAAGTGTTGCTGAAAAAAAAAAAAAATTGCCAGTCTGTTACCACTTGTTCAACTGGCCAGAGGGAACCGGAAGAGCCTCAGCTGCAGTGAGGGCCTCCTTCCCTCCCCTCACCTCAGCTCCTGGGCTTGGGATGTCATATAACCCCATCTGAGTTTTCTGTCTCTGAACCTCTCAGGTATGTGGGATCCCTGACTCTTTTACATATGTGGGGTTCCCATATGTACATGTGTACTTAAATGTGGTTATTTTCTCTTGTTCGTCTGTCTTGTGTTGATTTAATTATTAGGCCAGTTGAAAGAACCTAGAAGGATAGAAGAAATTCTCTCCCTCCCCCACTCCGGTAAAAGCTTGTTGAATGAATGAGTGAATGTTGGATTGAATGCAAGCAGGGCTGGTGCCTGCATGGAGCTCTAAGAAGCACTGAAGAGAGAGGTCAGAACGACCAGGGTGCAGGGGTTCTGCTGGCCAGTGTGAAGTCCGCAGGCCATGAAGAATGATTGGGAGGAGTGACACTGAAAATCTGTTTAACAGCTTGGTGGAGCCTTTTTTCAGCAAAGCTCAAGGTGCTCTGCTAATATTTCCCCTCCACTCAGTCATGCTTCACTCAGAAAGTACATTAAAACACACAATGAGAACCAAATATGATTTATCTCTATGAGAGGAAGTATAAACAATCCCGTGTTTTCAAAATTTTTTTAACTTAGCACAGTGGGTTGAGCCTAAAAATGTCAAACTAAAAAGATGGCTCTGTGACACAAATGTATCCTGTCAGAGAGTTTTAAAATGTAAACGTCTTAGCATTTCCTGGCCTTGGAGGGGAGCAGGGGTGATGAATACATAACTATTGTTATTAAATTTTAAAGATACATCTGGTGTTAAGTTCCCTCACAGGTATAGGTGTGTCAGAAAGGGTCTGAAAAATTATTACTCTCTCTCTCTCTCCTTTTTTTTTTTTTTTTTTAAACAAAAACAACTCAACATCATTTATTGTCATCTGGTAGGATTGAAAGGGTATTATAAACCAACATGAATAAATGTTTAAGAACTATTCTCCCAACAAAGGGCACCTAAAAAATACAAACTGTATTGCTTCTAATAATTTCTCGCTCCGTTAGTCATTTCTAGGTAGAGACACGTTGGAGCAGAGTAATATTACCTCCTTTCAGCATGATCCGACCTAGTTGTTTTCTCAATGAATCTCTTCTGCATCATCTAATACTCATCAAAATCAATAAAACAGCCTCTGCCCACATATTCACTGGTTCATAAAGTCACACCTGAATCCGAGATCTAATCTGTAAAATGAGGTTGATGGGCTGCACCATCACTTTTTAAAAAAATATATATTTTATTGATTTTTTACAGAGAGAAAAGGAGAGGGATATTCAGAAACATCCATCAGCTGCCTCCTACACACCTCCTACTGGGGATGTGCCCGCAACCAAGGTACATGCCCTTGACTAGAATCGAACTGGGGACCTTTCACTCCGCAGGCCAATGCTCTATCCACTGAGCCAAACCGGTTAGGGCTGCACCATCACTTTTTGGCCCTGGCTGTGGTATGAAGCTACACGCTCCCGCAAAGAGGCACCTCTGGAGCAAAGAATTTTATATGCTCCTTCCAAAAAGGAAAGAGATTTCTACTCCATCCTGTTAAACTTGGGAAACGTTTACTCTTAATGGTTAACAAAACAAGAGCTGGACTCTCTGAACTCACCAGGCCACCTGAGGGTTCCTCCCAAGTTAGCTCTGCCCTCCCCAAATGAAAGGTTTGGGATTTGCAGCGACCCTGTCTGTATCCTGTTCTGTAGGCCAATTTCCACCCTGCTCCTCCTCTTCACCACTAGGAAGTTGACTTGAGCTACATTTTCCCAAGCCAGTAAGCCCTGCCACGTGGGCAATAGTGTAAGCAATCAATGAAAACAATCAGAGAGGGCTTCTTTAGCACACAGACAACATGAAATCTCTTACCCAGCAGACCAGGGGGCGGTGCTTCAGATAAAGAAGAGCCCCTGCAATTAAGGAGATATCTCTCTCTGGAAGCTTGAAGGTCCTGCCCTTCACCCCCACCCCACCTTCTTAGAAAGCAAAAATCCAAAAATGTCCAACCCACCAGCAGGGCTGCGATGAGGATGTGAAAATCCAGTCACATCACTTTAGAGCAGTGTTTCCCAAACTTCTCTCATGATGAGAAGCTTAGAGCACTAGTTAAGTATACAATTTTACCTATATGTTCCCCAAAATTCTAGTTTAGCACTTCTTAGTTGGGATTCAGGAATCTGTAGTTTAACAACTCCACCAGGTGCTTCTCACCATGAGAGAAGTTTGGGAAACACTGCTTTAGAGAATTAGGGGGTTGGTCAACGTCACCTTTAACATCTATTTTTAGTTGCCCTGAACAAATCCCTCGTTTCACCCCAGACCTCAAATCAATTCAGTCTTCAGAATGTTCAAACCCACAGGTGGGGGAGGGAGGAGAAGCTAGGTAAGAGATTTCATGTTGCCTGTTTGTGTGCTAAAGAAGCCCTTTCTGTTTGTTTTCATTCATTGCTTACACTATTGCCACGTGGCAGGGCTTACTGGCTTGGGAAAACTTAGTTCAAGTCAGCTTCCTGGTGATGAAGAGGAGGAGCAAGGTGGAAATTGGCCTATAGAGCAGTTTTGAACATTTCTGACCCAAATGAGAAATTTCTAAACGGGAGGTTAAAATTTCTAAATGCAACAACAGGTCATAGAAAACAGGCCCACAGGATCCAAGGGTTACTGGTCCTTTTGAAACACACTGCCACCTCTGAGCTGCTCAGGAGCCAGCGGGACCAGGGGGCGGTGCTTCAGATAAAGAAGAGCCCCAGGTCTGATCTGCTTCAAATACCTGGAGAAGACAATCAGATGCCTAACTCGCTCAACTTCCTCCAACCACACGGAGAGGCAAAGAATTGTATATGCTCCTTCCAAAAAGGAAAGAGAAGAGATTCAGAGATGAGCTGTCCAGGCCTTTCCGAGGGTTTTCGTCTTTGGGAATTCAGAGGGAGATGTCTACTCCATCCCGCTGAACTTGGCTCTCAACCCGAGGGAAGGCGTTTGGCACAAAGCATTGTTCCCACTGCCCTGACTTTAGCTGTGTACAAAAGAAGGTAAGAACCGTGCCAAACGCCACCGGGCCCCGCTCGGCGGTACTAGGCAGCACAGGAGAGCATGCACTCTCGAAAAGCTGGCTGTTCCAGCTAAAGACACCTGTACATTCTGAGGGGGCCAGCCCCGGAGCTGTTCCCTGAGGAAGGACAGCTTTCCTGGAGCCAAAGGTCTAGGCTGGTGGACTAACAGGTTAGGAATGAACTCATAAAACATCCTGTTTTTCAAAGCATGCTTTCTGCTGGGGGAGGAGAAACGGTGTGTGAAAGAAAAGGTCCCCTCCTTTTATCCTCCCCCCCTGCCCCCTCCCACATACACACACACCTCTCTTACACAGCCACCCAGTCCTAATCAACACCGTCCATCATACAAAACCATAAAGGCACCTGGAGTCACCAACTCAGCTCAAGTCAGAAAATGACAGTCTCCCACACACAATTCAGAACGGTCAGATACAATCTAACACACTCCGACCCGCAGTGATGGAGCCACAGCCATTCCTCTCTCCTACCCACCTGATTGCCAAAGACGGCGATGGAGCAGGCCGTGGAGACTTCATTGGCCCCGAACCAGACGGACGCGATGCGGGAGGGCATGCCCAGGATGAAGACCTGGGCCACGGAGCAGATGACCTGGCCCAGCATGGTGACTGGGAAGAGGTGCGGCTTCAGGCTCCCCAACTTCACCCAGGCCCCCAGGCAGTTGAGGGCAGAGCCCGTGAGGGCGATGGTGCGCAGGCCATACTTCTCCAGCAGCCAGGCCACCGGCAGCAGCAGCGGGATGTAGGTCAGCATGTAGACCATGGACAGCCAGTCGATGGCGAAGGTGCTGACGCCGTAGAAGCAGGTGAAGATGTTGTTGATGGCGCCGTACTGGATCCACTGGAAGGCGTTGCACATGGAGTAACAGCTAAACACCAGGACCACCGCCCAGCGGCGCCTGCTCACCTTGATCAAACTGAGGTCATCCCCGCGGCCCAGGCTACTACTGGGCTGGGTCAAGTCCCCGGCATAGGCCATGGAGCTGGGGAAGGCTGAACTGCTGGGGTTCGCAGAGACACTGGGGTGGAAGGAGATGCTGGGATGGGCCGAGATACTAGGATGGGTCGAGATAGTAGGATGCACAGAGATGCTGGGATGAGCTGAGGCGCTGGGATGAGCTGAGGCGCTGGGATGAGCCGAGACGCTGGGATGAGCCGGGATGCTGGAGTCAGTGCGGATGGCAGGAGGGGCAGGAATGTTGGGGTCCACCGCCGGCGGCGCGGACTGCTGCTCGGGGGTGACATCGCGCTCCTCCAGGTTGGGATCTTCATTCACCATGACCTCGGCCTCTCCTGGAGCCCCGGGCAGGCGCTCAGAGCTCCGGCAGTCTCACGGGGCAGTGGCCTCAGCGGGCGAGGCGGTGGCCCTGGTCCGCCCCCAGACGAAACTGAGGTCCAGTCCTGCGTCAAAGCCACCTCCAAACTTCAGCCCCCACTTTTCCGGGGGGAGAGAGGGGAGGCGCTGTCCGGGCCGCTGTTCCCCAGGCCGGTACCGGGAGTCCTTCTACGGCGTCCTGCCCGCGTCCAGCCCCTTGGGTCCAGGAGACACTGAGCTCCGGGCGCAGCCGACTCCCGGACTCCGTTCGCTCCCGGCCCGCTGGGGCCTCGCCCCTCGGGCGCACGTGACTGCCCCGCCCCCGTCCCGCCAAGCTGCCCCCCCTTCCACCCCGCCTCCCCCCCCATCCCCAGCTCCTGCCTTCTCCAGCCCCGCAGGCCAGTTGTTTCGCCATAGTTTGCTGGGTGTCTTCCTCCCCCACGCCCCGGGCGCCATGGAAACCGCCGGGTTCACCCCTCCCCCCCTCCCCCCTGAAGAGTCACTTGCCCTCCTCTCCCGAGGACCAGAGAGAGAACTGCCGTCCGCCTCTCCGAGGTCTCCCTGCAAACGGAGCTTCCGCGCGCCGGTCCGCACCCCCAGCGCGCACCCGGGGCCGGCGCCTCCGGAGCGCTCAGGGGAACCCCAGGAGGAATTCCCAACTTTTCCCCGCTGGGTCCGGCCCCTCGGCCCTTCCCGAGCTCCGGCACAGAGAGAGAGAGAGAGAGAGAGAGAGAGAGAGAGAGAGAGAGAGAGAGAGAGAGAGAGAGATGCGTAGCTTTCGCGGTCCGGTTGCGCTTCTGGGTGAAAGGGGATTGCAGAAAACTCACGTTGCCAGTTGCTTTTCGGGGCGCTCCGAGTCTCATCTGGAGAAGCTCCTATTTGAACCTATTATGCGGGGGTTTCTGTTGTGAGGGGAAATGCACAGCCCTCTGCGTAACCCTGGGCTGCCCCCTGCTGGCCCGAGCCTGGTCCAGAGCATAGATCGTCCTTCGTGGTCACGGGGCCCGAGGGCCTTTTCTATGAATCCATGTAAGGCCGGGGCGGAATCAGAGCCCACAGCCTCCCCAGGTTCAAACACCAGCTTAGCTCCTAGGTACCTAAGGCAGATTGAGGCACTCCACCTGTCTCCCTAAATGGGGATGATGAAATAATAGTACCCGCCTCAGGGTTGTTTTGAGGCTGCAATGAGTTAGAACACAAAGCACTTTGAAAGTTCCTGGCAGATGGTAAGTAAGCATTTTGTGAGTGTAGGCTATTCTAACAACTGGACAGCTCATCTTTGTTGTATTGTGCTAAACATGGTCACTATAGTGTCGCGTTTAAGTGTCACAAGAATTCTGTAATGTGGTTATTCTTGCTTGCCTGCATTTTGAATTGGTCAGAAAACTGAGACTCACAGAAGTGAAGTAACTTCTTCCTAAGGGCCCAGCTGGCCTGAAGAGCCACATTTCTCCTGCAGGTCTATTCAAACGCAGCCTGGCTACTCACGTGCAGCCAGGGGTCAGCAGTGTGGACAACCCTTGGGAGCCTCTTAAAGGGCCAATGCCCAGGCCCACCCCTGATGTCCTGAACTAAAGACTGCATTTTGTAAGATCTCCAGGTGATGCGTTCGTTTGCACATTAAAGTTTGAGAGCCACAGAGTGCCACCACTTTTTTTTTTTTCATCTTTAGACTCAAAATGAAGAATTTAAAGTTCTGGGCAGTGGTTCTCAACTTGGGTTGCACATTAAAAGTCATGGTGTGGCCGAAACCGGTTTGGCTCAGTGGATAGAGCATTGGCCCGCAGAGGTCCCAGGTTTGATCCTGGTCAAGGGCATGTACCTTGGTTGCGGCCACATCACCGGTGAGTAGGGGGAGAGGGGTGCAGCTGATCGATGTTTCTAATTCTCTATCCCTCTCCCTTCCTCTCTGAAAAAAAATCAATAAAATATATTTTTTTAAAATCATGGGGGTGGTGGTAGGGGGAGACTCTTAATATCCCCAATGTCTCAGCCATAGCCCCAGTGCCTTAGGGAGGGTCTCTGGGAATGGAGCCTGGCCTGGGCATGTGGAAACTCCCCTGGGGATCTCAACAGGCAGCCACGTTTAAGCACCCCTAGTGGGGTCAGACCTGTGGGCGGCAAAAACCACACCAGGTGTGAGACCAGTGGAGTCAGACAGGACCTGGGTTCAGTAACCTCAGTGCTAACAGAATTCAGAGTCAGAACTCAATTTGTAAGAGAAAATTTATTTAGAAAGTCAGAGAGGCAGCAGGGGGCGGTAGGAGAAATGGGTCTAGGAAACAAGTAACAGAGGCAAAGGAAGGACCCTTGGAGCTTAGGAGAAAGAAAGAGGCGAGGAGAAAGCACCTGGGGAAGGGGTGGGGCATGTTCCAGAGAGAGAGCTCTGTTCTAAGGGCTTTGAAGGGCAGAGACTTAGCAGGAGGCACCAGGGGCGGCTCTCAATAGAATATTCATCAGCTTTTCAGGTGTGTCCCTTCAGGGCCCTGGTCTGTACTGATTGGTAGGTGCCATGGCATTGTTTGTCTGGTTTTGCTGCTTTTCTGGGCCTGAAGCAGCAATTTAGGCCTAGATGTTATCCCTAGAGGTAATGCTTAAGGGAGTGGTTGTGTAAGGGCCCTTACGGAGTCACAAGAGGCAACTCTTGGATGCCTGTTGGTACTCTAAGGCGGTCTACTGAGTTACTATCCACATGTCTGGGGAGAATCCAAACCACGTGACCAGCCAGATGAAGAAAGGTCAGGGGGGTCCTAAACCAAATGACTAGTAATAGGCTCGGGGAGGAAAGGTTACCCTGGGGACCAGGTCCTTGTTTTCCCAGTTTTGCCTGTTGCTAGGCACCTGGGGCTTTTCACCCAGGTGACCTTCTAGAAGTACCTGGCGTTGTCCTAGTTCTGCTCATGCCTGTCTAATTGCCTGCAGACGGCTCACAGGCAGGGGAACGCGGCTTGGAGTCACCCTCTTTCTGCTAGAAATGATGGCTTATCACGGACTGTAATGGAATGTCTGAAGAGGAAACTTATACCCACCTGACAATGTCTACACTAACTTAACATTCCCTCTTCTCTTCGTTGCAGCAGTGTTTCCCATCATTCATTCTCCGGGGAGCACAGAACCTTCATTCTCTCAGAAGGGCCTCTCACTGCTTCTTTCCCCAGGTCATCACAGTCCTCTCCCAGAACTCTTCAGAACCTATTCTTAACTTCAGTTATGGAAACGGAGGTTGTATTACCCAAGTCCCACAGCTAATCAGGTTCAGAACAAGCAGCAATAAGACAGATTTCCCGAATTCCCTGCCAGAAGCCTCTTCTGGGCAGTGCTTCAGTTTGATGGCAAATCTCCAAGGGTCTAACCCAGGATCCAAGCGATATTTGGGATTGCCTTTTCTGATGGAGTGGGTTCTTTCCTGAGCTCTGGACTCAGTCCACTCAAGACTTGAAGCTCTGTTCTGGCATAATTAGCTTTTGTGATCTTGGGCACTTAACCTCTCTAGCCTTCAGTTTCTGAATTTGTAACACAAGGATAAAAATACATGCCTCAAGGATAAAAATACCTGCCTCATCAAAATGTCCATACTTCCCAAAGCAATTTATAGGTTCAATGTACTCCCCATTAAAATACCATTGGCATATTTCACTGACCTAGAAAGAACTCTCCAAAAATTCATCTGGAACAAAAAAAAGATCCCGAATAGCCACAGCAATCCTGAGAAAGAAGAGTAAAGTAGGAGGGATCTCAATACCAGATTTCAAGCTGTATTACAAAGCCACTGTTTTCAAAACAGCCTGGTACTGGCACAAGAACAGACATATAGATCAATGGAATAGAACAGAGAATCCAGATATCAACCCAAATCACTATGCTCAATTAATATTTGACAAAGGAGGCACGAACATACAATGGAGTCAAGACAGTCTTCAATAAATGGTGTTGGGAAAATTGGATAGATACATGCAAAAGAATGAAACTAGATCACCGACTTATACCATACACAAAAATAAACTCAAAATGGATACAGGACTTAAACATAAGACGGGAAACCATTAAAATACTAGAGGCATCCGCAGGCAGCAAAATCTCAGACATATGCCAAAAGAACTTCTTCACTGATACTGCCCCTAGGGCAATGGAAGCTAAAGAGAAAATAAACAAATGGGACTACATCAAAATATTATAAAAAGCTTTTTTACAGCAAAAGAAACCATCAACAAAACAACAAGAAAGCCCACTGTATGGGAGAACATATTTGCAAATGTTATCATTGATAAAGGCTTAATCTCCAACATCTACAGATAGCTTATACAACTTAATAAAAGGAAGATAAATGAGCCAATTAAAAATGGGCAATGTACCTAAATAGAATCTTTTCAAAAGAAGACAGAAGGAAGGCCAAGAAGCACATGAAAACATGCTCAAAGTCACTAATTATCCAAGAGATGCAAATCAAAACGACAATGTGGTACCATCTCACATCTGTCAGAATAGCCAACATCAACAAATGACAAGTGTTGGCGAGGTTGCAGAGAAAAAGGAACCCTCGTGCACTGCTGGTGGTATTGCAGACTGGTGCAACCACTGTGGAGAACAGTATGGAGCTTCCTCAAAAAACTGAAAATAGAACTCCCATTTGACCCAGTAATCCCACTCCTAGGAATATAGCCCAAGAAACTAGAAACACCAATCAGAAAGGATATATGCACCCCTATGTTCATAGCAGCACAATTTACAATAGCTAGAATTTGGAAACAGCCTAGGTGCCCGTCAGCAGATGATTGGATCCAAAAACTATGGTACATCTACACAATGGAATGCTATGCTGCCATAAAAAAAAAAAGAATTCTTATAATTTACAGCCACCTGGATGGAATTGGAGAACATCATGCTGAGTGAAATAAGCCAGTCAATGAAAGAGAAACACTACATGACCTCACTCATTTATGGATGATAAAGAACATTATAAACTG